AAATTGTTTTACTTTGGCGCCTAGGAGGGACATGTTTTTCAACATTGCAATTACTTTTGATAATAGTATGTATTTAAAATTTCAATCCTAACTTAAAATTAACTTCCAGTTTTTGAGATAAAGTAAGGAGACCTTGATACATCTGACCCCCTTTATCCCCCACAGCTATCTCTGAGCAGTGCCAATGAGATTTATGAGCCTCGATGTGCCCAGGGTGAGATTTTATTCTCAAATAGTACATGCTTACCACTTGAAACCATGGGAATGACTGTCTTCATTCAGACAAGCCCCTGTATAAGCCAAAGCAAGAAGTGAAATTTCGGATTGTTGCACTCTTCTCAGAGTTTAAGCCTTACAGAATGTCTTTAAATATTCTAGTAAGATAAGTACCAGACAGAAAGGAAGTAAGGAGTTGAAGCTGCCTTCCTGAAACTGTCTTGTAAGTTCTGCTCACGTTACTGGTACTGGGATGTCTTAGAATTCATATGGCTGAGCTTCCCTCCCAACATGGGGGTGTCTCTCCAGGAAGGTGAATGGTAGGGCACTGGGTTGGGAGCTCAGGATCTGGGTTCCAGTCCTGGCTTCATCATTGATTAATTCATTTGTGAAACATTTATTAAACTAATGTGTCTTAGGTCCAGAAGGGGCAGGGCAGTCAACAGAACACATTAAGTCTCTGCTCACATCGAGCTGTTTATTCCAGTGGGTAGACAGACGATAAAGTTACATATATATACACAAAGGAATAGGTATGTACATGTGTGTGTTTGTGTGTGTGTGAGACAGAATGTGTGTGTTTACTGTTTTCTGTAGGGTTGTTAGAGAAGCTGTATTTGAACAGAGACCTCAAGGAACTAAAAGAATGAGCCTACACAAACAGGGAATAGCATGTGCAAAGGCCCTGAGGTGGGAGCTTGTTAGGTGCATTGGGGGAACCAGCTGGCAGTACACTGGAGCCCAGGAGGTGAGGGGACAGATATTAGGAGATAAGATCAGATAACGGGTAGGTTGGTTGGAGGAGCGGTTATACAAGATCTTCTTGTATATGTCCATGATATGGACTTTGGACTTTACTTTGAGTGAAATGAGAATTCACTGGAGAGTTCTGAGGAGAGAGGCATAAAGTGATTTGACTTAACATCTTAAAAGGATCACTGCTCTAAGAATGGATTGAGGCTCTGGAATCTGGAGAAGATTCTCTTGAAGCCTCAGTTTCATTTTTTGTAAAATGTATTATAGTAATAATGAAAATGCCTCCCAAAGGTTTTTGTGGGGTTTATGTGAGATGACTTATGTAAAGCATATCGAACGGTGCCTGGCACATAGTACGTGCTCACTGAACACAAGCTGTGGTTAGAATAGGAACCCCCTCTGGCAGGGAGTCACTGGCCTCTGCTGCTTGAACACTCTGAGCTCTGGAGGCAGCATGGTTAGCAGACTGAGTTTTCCTGTGAGAACCAAGCTGAAGACAGCTGAGATCTGGCTGGATCTGGTTTTCTGTGCTTAATCCGAGGAGAATACTAGACATTTGATGATTACATGGGAATGGAGTGACCGGTGCATCCCAGTTTGCTGAGACTCTCTGAGAACTGAAGTGTACCCCTCAGTCTGACACATTGGTTACCCTAAATGTTCTGATGAATAACACAGAATGGAAAGTAAAGTCAGGCTTTTCAGTTCAGTGTATTCTCTTTCTTAGTTTCCTTGTTGTTAGAAGCTAAACAAACAAAAATCTGGCAAAAAACATGTATATGTATAACTTCAAGCCAAGATGTCTGTAGCAGAGAAGGCATTGGTTGGCATGCTCAGTGCGTATTTCTTGAATGGAACTGATGTTACTTCAGAGTTTGCAGCTTTGTGAATTTCTGCCCGTACTCCACTCTCTGCTGCTGTGTTGGAATGAAGTGGGTTGACACAGTGAGTAGTATTTCTCAATTCATGTAACTCTCAGAGCAGCATTTAGAGGTACCTTCATCCCATCCTCCATCATTTATCCACAAATACCGAGAACTGAGTCTATGCCAGAAATTTTATGTAAAATGCAGGATTTAGAATTAAATGTCTGCCTGTGTCTGGCTGTTTTCCTATTCAATCTGCCTCTTTCTGTCTTAGGTAAATAAAAGTCAGCACTGGATAAACTGCCTATTCTAGGCATTAACCTGAAACCCCTGCTGATTCTGGACAGCTGGTCTGTGCATTTTTATAATTTTTCCTCCTTCTGCTCTAGCATCTGCCTTTGAAACTTTGGATTTGTAGATTCCTTGGGCTTCTCTCTCTGATTTTGCACGTAGCCTGTCACATTCGGCTTTCCTAGAGGTGCTCAGAGAGACCTTCTTTTTGCTGTTTTTGGTCCTGGGATCCTGCTGGCCTGGCCGACGTGTGGCTTGCTTGGACAGGGAAGGCAGTTTAGACTGAAATTGCAGCTGGAACGCAGTGTTTGGGACCAGTGAATGAGCATGCGTGTGGGTGCCTGAACGCCGCTCTCTGTATCTGGGTGGTGAGGCGGAGATGTGAACTCAGGTCCAGCCGACTCCTTGCTTGTAATTTGCAGGGGCCAGGTCAGACCACTGATGTGAATGCCTGTACACTGTGTCTGCACTCCTCCACCTGAAAACAGTCTTTCGGGCCAGGGTTCGCCAGACTGTGATGTTTTCTACATTTTTCAGTGTGGGATAGCTGGTTTCTTGGAAAAACTTCCCAGAGAAAAGTGAGCCTTTAGTGTAATGAAAGCTCCTGACTTGGACAGTTAAACTTGCCAGCACAATACCACCTGCAGGCTAGTGTGAAGTGCATCTTAGAACTACGGGAGACCAAATTTGGGTGACCCATGTTGCCCAGCCAAGAATGACTGGAGGATGTAGGTAAAATATTCACCATCAAAGCATATTCAGGCATGTTCAGTGTTTTATTGAAGGATCATTGGATATTATTCATTTCGCATGCCCTGATAACTGACCTCGGGAAGCAAAGGATCTTCAGAGGCCTTTCTATGGTGGAGTAAACCTCTGCCCTAGTTCTGGCTTCCTCTGGCCTGTCTATCCTTACACTGTGTAAACAAGTGCCTTCAACACCGTGATGGCACTTGGCATGCTGGCTTCTACCCTCACCTCCCTTCCCGAAGAAGTTTATTGCTGTTGGTACAGGTGAATGACCTTGTGGGAGCTGGTGCTATTGGCTTGAGGTCTGCCCTGTGACTGTGCTCTGACCCTTTGGCCTGGAGCAGTGGTGGCAAACCCAGAACCTCATCCCTGGCCAGGTGAGAGGCCTCCTGTTAAAGTGATTTGATGTCTCTAATTTTAGGGGCTAGACACACACCTGTGCATCATCCAGGACTCCCGGCAGTGGCAGAAATACTTACGCCCTCCAGCCAGGGATTTCATTGCTTGAGACATTTGGCACAGGCAGCGGGCGCTGTGCTGTGCAGAAGGGATTGATGGAGAGCCACAGCCATCCAGATATGACTCAGAGAGCATAGGAGACCACTCTTCCAGTGTCTCCAGCCACATGGCTATTCCAGCTGTGATGGGCATGTTTCACATCGTACTTGGCTGTCCTGTGTGCATCCCAGCAGGGGGTGGCCACACGCAGTTGCAGGGCTCTGCTGTGATGCCACCGTGCGTTGCATGTTCAAATCCCGATGTGCTCTAAAGACATTCTCTGTGTGCTCCTTGTTGGTGATGTGCCCAGGTCCAGGACAGGCTTGGGACATAAGACGGATCGTCTCATTCACTCCCAGCCCTCCAGATCCTCCAGGCCATCACACTTTTGGTTCCAATTTCCTTTGCTTGTGGGACTGTGGGAGAAATGCGCACCTTCTCGAAAATAATACATCCGTGAACTAGGAACATTTCTTTCCCTATATTTTAAACAATACTGGGAATTAATATTTTTATTTTTGTCAGTGTGACATGAGAAAAACGGGCTTCATTGTTTTATTTGCATTCCCTTAAGTATTAGCGTGTATTTATTAGCTCTTTGTCTTCATCTGCGTTTGATCCTTTGACTCCGTTAACCCTCCCACGCATCACGCCGTGGCAGGCACAAGAGAGCCAGGCCTGGTGACAGTGCTTGCCTGCCCCCGGGCTTGGCGAGGACAGTGACCTGCTTACTCCTGACCTGTTTGTGGTCCTTGGTTTTAACAATTTGTTCCTGGCTCCCTGGACCACTTCCTGCTCAGTTCTCAGCATTGTACTTAACGCTGATTCACATTCTCCCTCGCTCGGGGAGAGAGGTTTCTTATGGCTTCTAATAACCAGGCCAACCTACTACCTCTAGTCAGAGGGGAAGAACAAGGGAAAATATTTGATCCCGGCTGCCAGTTCATAGTCTAGGGAACAAAGAAACACCAAAAGCAAAAAAATAACAATGACATAAACACCAAAAACCCCCCCCCCAAAAAACAAAAAAGGAACCCAGAAAACAAGTGCCTTAAACAATAATAGATGTCAAGAGTGGTAAACTCTAGGTGAACTGGGGCTCTCCTGCCCGGTGCAGGCATGTCCAGAAGGCAAGAAGCTGGACAAGGATGAGCTGGCCTTCCATGCAGCAGTTGCCAAGGCCAAGAGGGCCCTGGGGGCAAATTGCAAACAAATCTATGTTTGGGGGAATATGTGCCTAAAAATGTAGGTGGGGTCAGCTTCCTAAGCCTTTTAAGCTACGCCGAGAAGTGTGGATCTCATCCTGTAGACAAAAGTCACCGTTACCTGCTGGTCTAATATAATGATCGTAGCTAGTGTTCCCTCACTGCTTGTTACATACCAGGAACTGTGCCAAGCATTTCAGTCACTTAGCCTCAGTCTCAGGTCGGTGTTTCGGATAGATGACACAGTCAGGAGAATATGGATTAAGGGGCAAAACTGGAGGAAGGAGAGTAGTTGCAATAGTTAGAACAGAGGGTATGGTGGCTGATTGTGAGGGTGGAAAGAAAGAGACAGACTTGAGAGAAATTAAAGAGGCAGAGTTGACAGGGTCTGGGATGACTGCCAGACTGGCTTGGATGAATATTGCATGAAGCTTTCGTGGTCTGGGAGAGCATAAGAAGACTGAAGTGTTTCGCATGCACCCACTTGATTAAACACCCCTGTGGCACACTTTTGTTGAGTGAAAAGACATGTGGGTATGAATCCTGTATTCCACCATTTACTGGAGCTGTGGTATTGGACCATGGCTATCATTTACAGCTGAGGGCTTACGTAACCTTTCTAGGCATCAGTTTTCTCAACCACAACGTGAGGATAATCGTAGCCCAAGGGAGGATCGGAATGACTGAATGACGTGTGAGTGGTAATGATGAGGCAGAGTGCTGGACACATCGTGGGCCTTTACCGCACAGGGCCTGTTATCCCCACAGTGGAATTTTCTCTCAACACCACCACCACCAACAACAACACGTCTGGTGATGTACATGCTGTAGTGTTTCATGTAGAAGGAAATAATGTTGCCAAGAATTAAAAAGTAGAGCCGAGTAAAGGTGTTCCCGGGAAACTCTGAGAAAAGAAGAAATTTTGATTTGTTGTCTTTAGTCATGTGGAGCTGACATTTTCCAAAATCACCTGTGTCCCACATTTTGGATGTGCCTTGCCTGAGCTTACTGCACAGCCTCATGCATAACCACTTAGGATCCACATGTACGCGGGCCAGCTTTATCTAGTTAAACGTGTGGTTTTCATTGTAGGACCCTGAGTCAAATTTGATCCAACAGTCAGAACAAAGTGATCTTGGAATCATTTCCAAAACTTTCCAGTTATCTTCCCATCCAATACTTGGTGACTGGTCCATTCAAGCTCAAGTAAATGTGAGTATAAATATATTTTCTGGGGGGAATGTTAATATGATTTAAATATGTCGGGTGGGGGAAATATCGCCAAAGTCGTTTATTCAGTGAACAGAAAAACATTAATCTGAGCATCTAGACAATTCAAGTGGTTTATTTTTAATTTACTATTGCTATCAATGGGTTAGCCTTTATTATAACATGTGAGGTTTAATAGTCTTTTTATGTAATATAACATTTGAAGATTAAAACACTTCGCATTTTAGTATGAAACTGATTAAATGATGTTTATGGTACTTATTGCATACATTGAGTATTTTATAACAGTAATAAATACGTAGCTATTATATGGCAAATTTTATGTCCCAGAATGATGATTTTTGATGAACAGTTGGGCTAACCTACTTTATCTTTACTTTAAAAACTCCAGTGACCTTAAACGGCCACATCAATCTCTGTTCCCTAGTCTTTCCTTCTCAGCTCCTTCACCATTTCCTTTGTTTGCTGCCAACTCCCCTAGCTCTGAGATCTAGCAAGGCAGGGGCACAAAAACGCCCCATCCATCCATCCATCCACCCATTCATTCACCCATTCACCCATCTATCTATCCATCCACCCACGCACCCATCCATCCAACCCACTCATTCACCCATCCATCCATCCACCTACCCACCCACTCCACCAACCCACTCATTCATTCACCCATCTATCCACCCACTCACCCATCCATCATCCATCCATTCACCCACCCATCCATCCACCCTCCATCCATCAAGTATGTGTTGAGGACTTACAGTGCCATGACAGATACAAGGAGGCTAAACAT